AAGCTGGCCACCCATAATAGATTAGCGGATTAATATTTTGCTCTAAAGGATCTGGCCTTTAAAGTTGACATCAATTTATAGCCATCCTGGCGTTTACAGTAGTAAAAGTCATGAAGACCGTAAACTTCACAATAGATGTCAGCCTTCTGGAACTAGTGCTGTGCTCTAGCACCCTATAAACAGTGGTGATTAGGTAACTGTTCTGCAAAGACCCATCCATAGCCTTAACGTCTTTATCAGCTCCAGCAAAGATGCTACCAGCAGGATTTTCTCAGGCACATGGCAGAGGCAGTTTTATTAATGCGGGTTTGTTTTCCTGACATGTATCAATGAGGCTATGCTGTTCCTTATCATTGATCTCTCCTTGAAAATCAAGCATGGAGCGTCTGTTTGTGGGCAAAGCTTCAAGAACAGAGGCTCTCTTGTATCATATTAGAACTTTTTGACAAATAGCCAAGGTACAGAGGTCAAATTTCCTCATATGCTTATAAGCAACTTAGTAGGGAAGCAAGACCACAGAAGGTTTTGCAAATGTCTGCCAGCAGCCGGTGATCTAGGTCACTGTACAGGTTTCATTAATCAGATTCTTCAAACAAGGACTTATTTTTCTCTGCTTAAGAGACCTGCTGCTATCACGTAGAATCTGCTCAAATGCCGATCAAGAAAAGAGTTTTAATGAAATAGAGATCATTTGAGTGAAGGGGTGGAGGTTCATTTGTATTTGTACTGAGGACAAATTGCGCTCTTAGCCGGCTCTACTGTTTGAGTCCTCTGTGCTGGCAGGGATGGGTCTAAGATCTAATAATAGTTCCTTGGGCTCTGCATCTCCCCATACATGTTCCGGCGTTTGAGCAGCAGGAGGAATTTAGTGACAGAGCAGGTGCTGTGGCTTATTCCCTGGCAGAATAAATGGGAAGGGATGGTAGCAAAACAATTCTTTATGCAAAAAAACAATGTCTCCACAGACCCCCCCCCCAAAAAAAAAAAAAAACTGAAAAAGAACTAGAATTGCTGTATTAATATGTATGTAAATATATTTTTTCACTTGAACCTCTGGGGGGAAAAAGAAAGGAAAAGAGAAAGGGAAAGAAAAACTTACTGTGAAAACGCTTAGCCAGGAAGATTTACTGCTGATTGCAGCGTTAGTATTGACATGTCTTAGCTGAAGAAAACTTTGGCTTTAACTACTAATGTGGAAATCTGGATACATTTTTTGAAATGGGGTGAAAAGAGTTTTGGTTGATTCAGTGTATTCTAAATGAAATTAGTTACTCAGAACATCATTTTTAATAAAGGGTCAGTTATAGAAGTATACAAATCCACTGAAATATGCATCTTAATTTTACATGTCTTGCCTAGGAAACAGAATTACATGGACTGCAGGTGATCTGAATTATACCTAAATCAAACTAAAAGTTACCACACTCTAAGGTGATACTTCTCTATACCTGCCTGATTTATTATGAAATATGGCATTTAAAACATGACTAGATTCTGACTCTAAATGAAATGTTTTTTTTTAGAAGAGCATTATTTCTAAGGTTTTCCTCAACCTGAATTTTTTAACTCCCCTAGTAGGTTAAAAGTAAAATCTTTTTTTTTCTTTCTCTCATATAAGTGTGTTACTCTTACAAGCCACAAAGAAATGTAGAAACAAAAATAAAACTTCTTCCACATGGAATAATTTGAGATTTTAACAATATTAGTTTCCTTTACTTGATTACATAAAGCAAAACTTGACATCCACTTAACTGTGGATCGGTCCCCTTGATATCTCATCTAGGTAAAATTAAAATGACCTTCTCTTTACATGCTTTGTAACCAATGCATGTAACAGAAAAAGCTCAGAATTCTAGAAAACAGGGTATACTTGGGAGTGAAGATCCTGTGAAGACTAATTGGACCTTTGAATCAACCTAAAATTTAAGTATTATAGAAAATCACAAGCCTCCAGGTGGAATCCCACCCCCTCTTCCTCTCAGAATCATAAACCAGTCACAAGTTATTTTAGAGATTAAGCTAGAAATGTGTGCCTATCCTTAGCACTTTGCTGAGAAATAAAATGTCACTAGAGATAAAGGTAGATTTATACTTAATGCCACCCCCCTTCCTCACTCAGTATATTATTCCAGCCTACCTCCAACTAGGCAGTTCAATCAGGTATAACCTGAAACACTTGATTTGCCCCTCCCCCCCAGGGGTAAGATATTTATGTTTAGTATTGCAAACGTTTCTAACTCCGGAGTACACTTGAATCTGATGGCAATTAAGGAAAAAATGTAGCACTTTGACAACTCTGCAGCTTTTGATTAAACCACACCAAGAGGCATGTTACAATAACAATGAAGCATTATGCCAATTATGTTAAATCCTGCTCTCTGCTTAAGCTCATCATGACCTGTTTTAGTGTCCTGTAACTTATCCTTTGGAATGCTTACTCTCATCAATAAAGTGTTCAACTTTAAAGGCAGGGAAGAAAAAAAAAAAGCCACCAAAGGGAACCCCCCCAATGACATTTAGAAAACAAATATTTCTTAACTTTTTATTGACATTGGCAAATTAAAATAGAATAAATTAACAAGTATTTTTTCAAAAAAATGTTTTGTACAAAAATACTGTCAAAATTTCCTAAAAAGCTTTCAACACAGTAGTATCTTTTCATGTACTGAATATAACTATTAGCACAGTGTCAAAAATGTTGAAGACAGAAACAAAATAAAAATCTGTGAAATGTTTGCCACTGACGACATTCCACACCCTATTGTCTGTACATATGGGGGCGGGGGACAGCCAACTTGAAAGTGAACAGTATGACTTTTCCTGATCCAGATCGGTTTGGCCCACATCTGTTTAATCTTCCAGTTTAGCATATTTTAAAAATTAGTCTACTCAAATGCATAGTTTTAAAAAACGAAGCGAGATGGCAGAGTTTGTGCAGTAATATCTGCCCTTCAAAGTTCATGCAACCAACTAATGCAATTTTTCCTTTCACTCCTAAATCTGAATGCAGTTCAGTCATTTGAAACCATCTACAAAATCCATAAGATTAAGCAGTTTGCCAAGATTAATATCTAACAGTTGAGCACTGGAGAAAGTGAGGAAATAGGAGTAAAAACAAACAACGTAAAAGACCCAGTTAGCTAGATATTTCAACTACATAAGGGGGGTGAATGTCAAGGCTGCAAAACCGAAACAAAAACAAAACAAAAAGTGGCAGCATTTTTTTAAAATCAATTTGTACAAGTTTATAGTTTACTTTGTTTCCAAGTTCTCAAACCTTTCAGGATCTGAAAAGTGAGATACTGTGTCTAGGGGAATGTTTTTTGTTTTATTTTTATTTTTATTTTTTTAATTCACACCGAAGAAGTTGGGGGTTTGATTTCTTTCCACGGGGTTGGATCGAGTCAACAGCTTACTCGGCTGGGCTGCTGTTTGCATACGAAGTCCGTCATAAAATCAAACTCGTTTTGCCCCAGCCAGAGTTCAGGCAGTTCCTTGATGCGGTCCAAACCCATTTCTATCACTAAAGACATGAGCACTTCCTCGTCGATGAAATCAGTGTCTATGACATTGGGCGGCAGCATTGCAGCAGGGACATGGGCCACCGAGGCGGGCATATTGCTGCCGCTGCCGCTGCCGCTGCCACTGCCGCTGCCGCTGGCTGCGCCACCGCCCGAGGTGCCGCTCGGGGTGCTGCTGCCGCCCGAGCCGCCGGGGGTGCTGCTGCCGCCGCTGTGCTTGGGGTTGCAATCTCGGAAGTGCTGGTTTGTCCCGTTCATCTGGTGGCCCGCAGCAGGGTGCAAATCCGGCATGTAGTGGTTGTGGGGATAGGGGTGATGGTTGAAATACTGGTTGTTGAGCTTCTGCAGCTGCATGCTGGCGGGCAGGGAGCCTCCCTGGCTGGCCACCGGGGGGCCCATGAACTGGGAGTTGTTAAACCTGGCGGCGGGGGCCAGCGCGCTCGGGGGGTGCCCGCCGTTCACAGTCCCCGGCCCCATCGCGTGCCTGATGCCGCTCGTGGCGTTCATGTTGCCCGCGCCGTAGTGTACGTGCTCGCCCATCAGGGCGTTGAAGGCGTGCTGGGGCTGCTGCTGCTGGTGGTGATGGGGACTCGGGAACTGCCCCATGCCCATGCGGTGGGCAGGGTGGTGGTGCAGCCCGTTGGTGCCGTCGGCGAAGCGCCCGTGGTTCATGGCCATCATGTGGTCTGCCATTTCCAGTTCTGAAAGTGAAAAGGGCAGACGGTCAGACCCGCGTCACACGTGTCGCCACCGCGGTGCACCCCACTTGGTCTTGCCTCTGCTCCCGTAAGCTCCCCGGGCGCACGTCAGCGCAAGCAAACCTCTACGCCCGGGATCCCAGTAGCCCGCGCATCACCTCGGCGGACCTGCCACCTGCGACAGAGCCAGGCGCTGCACGAACAGCTCTTTCCTCAGCGGTCGGGGAGGGGGACGCCCGAGCCCACACCCCTACTGCGTTCCCCGAAGTGGCCTAATAAAGGAAGTGCCCCGTAGCCCCGCCACGAACTTCAGGCTTTCGATCAGCCCTCCTCATCCTGTTGTTGCACATCCTGTTGTTATTCCCCAGCTCCGCCTAGCGCTCTTCCTCCGGGCAAACCCTGCCCTCGGAGGACGGGGCTCGCAGGAGCCCAGCCGGCGTCGCCCGCCGCGCTCACCTTTCGTCTCTGCGATGTCTGCTCCGGAGACCGAGGGCGGGATCGTCGGGTCCAGGACCGGCTCAGCAGCACATAGAGGGGGCCTTCCCGGCGTGCAGGGCGCTCGCGGTCGCCTGGTGGGTGCCGAGGTGTCGCCGCGGCCGCCGGGGCAGATCCGAGTCGTTCCCTTTTCTTTTCCCTCCGCTGCCTTCCGAGCTCGGCAGAACCGCCCGGCAGCTGCCAACAATGAGCTGTGTTTCTTAGGGCTTTGGCCACAGTTAATATAAGGGATTTCAGGAAGGCGGAGCGAGCGCCTCTCGGGGGGCGGTGTGAAGACGCGGATTCCGGAACACCGCACACTGGAGCGGGTGGGCGAGCCGCGTCCCCGCGCTGGCGGCACGTGCGCAGAGGCTGCGCGCCCAGGCGCCGCCCCGCGCTGCCAGCTCTGCTTCCTTCTCCCGCCGGAGCTCCGGGGCCGCTCTGCAGCCCCCGGGGTAGGGGTTCATCTCCCGGGCCTCCCGTCCCAAAAGGTAGCGCCTGACGCCTCCCTCTGCCTAGAGCCCCGCCCTCCAGCGCGCTCCCCTGCTCACCTAGCGCTCTACCCTGCTCTCCACCGGATGGAGGGATTCGCTCCGCACTCCCGCCCTTCCGAGGGTCGTGCAGCCTCCTCCCCGTTGCAAAAACCTCCCTGAGCTTTAAAGAACGATTGTGTTTTCCCGGGTGTTTTTTGTTTTTCCTTTAAAGCCCTGCACAACTAATGCTCTCTTCCTCTGGGAGCGCTTTTCTGAGCCAAGCCTTTGTGTTTTTATAGGGTCAGCCCGTAAATTTAATCTAGATATAGCCTGTGTATAGATGCGTTCTCTCCCAACTCCTTTCAAGGACAGGAGGTGGGGGCGGGGAGCGACAGCCGCTGCAGGTGGACTGAGCGCGCTCGCAGGCCCTGTCCCCTCCATTCCGCGCTCTCTTATCCTGTCCGCACTTTCGTGTCCGCTCGGCGCTCCCGGGTACGTGTGCTTCTGCTAAGTTTGCGTTTGCAGCTCTTGGTAGCTTTGGCATTCGAGCTGAGACTCTGCTCTGTAAACAAACTCAGCGATCCTCGGCCCCAGATCCACCTTTTTGCACATACACAGTTACTTGCATCTGCTGTTGCCCTTGATCCGGGAGGGGCGTGTGTGTGTGTCTGTGTGTGTGTGTGTGTGTGTGTGTGCGCGCGCGCGCGCGCGCGCAAACTTGCACGGACTCCCTCCTGGCTTAGCCTGAAGGTTTGGGGTTGATTCGGAAGCAAACGGGTTTGTAATTAAGAAATTTGAGAACTGAGTACGGCTGCTGTTGCTGAAAAAGGAAAAGAAATAGATAACATGGTAATCGCTTCGTAAATAAAGTCGTTCGGGAGGTGGGCACGTAGCGGCACGTCCAGTGTGGCACGGTGCGCACACACACTGCCTGGACTCTTCCTTTTCAGTGAAATTGTTCACTGGAGCAATAGGCGATAATAATAACCCTGCTTGCAGAACGAGCCGCTCTCGCCCATTTGGCTCATTGACTTGCAAATAAAAGCCCTAACACCGGTCTGGGCCACTACCCAGTCGGAGCTCTCTTGCTTTATTACACGGAGAAGCTGAATTGTTTTCCCAACACTGTGATGAGGCTGCTAGGAGCCTTTAGATTGCTCTTTGGTAAAATCGAGTTTAGCGCTCCGAATAAGGACTTCAGAGCAGAGTTGTTTCTTCATAATTCGATAGCCAGTGAAGACTTCCTGCTGCGAAGAGCTGGTTCCCCCCTCCCCCTTTTCTGTTTCTTCCTTGTAACTCACAAGACGTTTTATTTAGGCCCTATTTCTTGAGGACTAGAAATTCTGATATATTTTCCCATTCAGGAATTTGCAAAAGAAACCTAATCCTGATTCTTTCTGTTATCACTCCCTCTTCCTCTAGGCATAGTAAAAAAAATAAAAAGTTGTTTCTCTTTCTTACTCTCCTTTCCTATGCTCTCTAGCACTTACAAGCGCATGCAAATAATTTTAAAACTTCAGAGATACTTATTTTTGGAGACCTAAGCCCAGGACAAATTACATTATTCGTTGCAACAATTCCATGTGCCGTCAACCCACCACCTTTACCTGTAGGTCAGACACGTGCAGTTACAGTTAGAGCGTTGGCAGACAGTCAATGGGGCCACTTTCTACCAAAACATAGATTGCAAAATATTGGTCAGCCCCAGATTCAGAAACTGTTGGATAGTTTGTTACTCCCCTCCCTTATTCTTCAGTCTTGGGGTACAAGGAGCAGCTTTTTAATGTCTAATCCAGATTCTTCTTGCAGCCTTAAGGAAAGGTACGGCACTATCCAGATCCAGTGGTTCTGCATACTATTGAGAAATCCTTGGAAAGGTCATCTGCCCGTTCCCCACCTCTTAAGGAGGGGGAAAAAAACCTTGTGGGCCAGCTGGTTGGAACAGGCACGCTTTGTTCATTAATTTTCATTCATCCAATGGGAGTGTTTCTCAAGTGCCAGGCACTTCCTTAATGCCTGGACATATAAACAAGACGGGAGCTGGTAGTCAAAAGGAAGAGTCAGACAGCAGGGCTGGGAGGTGCTGTGTTTTAAATGCCACATCAGTATTAATGCAAAGGCTTCCTAGAACACACAGGTAGACCCCAAAACCTGTCTTGGGGACACTGAGAGACTTTGCCGTGAACTCTATGACTAAATTAAGTCAGAGAATGAATAGGAATTGAGTTGTGTGTGACCAGGAGTTGGAAACTCCTGGCCAAGAAGAGAGAAACAGATTGCACGGTACATGAGGCTGGATCTTAGGGGCTTTGTCTCTGCACAAATCTGGGTTGTGTCTAGCGACAGAAGCAGGAGAAAATTTGTGAACCTATGGATAGTATTATAAAAGTGGTTTAAGATAGACTGGAAGCACAGGGTACAGAAAGGAGGTAGTTACAGTAATCCCACAATACAGGAAACCCCTTGTCATCAGGGGTTTGTCCTATGAACCTTGTGAATGAGCAGCCAAGCTTTGATTGTTCCAGTAGTAACCTGCCACTGAGGTAGCAGAACACTATTTAAAGCACAACAAGGTATTGTCCCACATGCAGGAGCCAGAGGTCAAAGATCAAGGTGTTAGTAGGGTTGGAGATAACTGAAATGGTAAATATCTGCCAGGTCTGTCTTCTATCTTTTGGTGGTTTACTGACAGCCTTTGGTATTTTTGATAATAAATGCATCATGCAGATCTCTTCCTCATTTTAGTGTCATGTTTTCCCCTGTATGCATATTTCTCTGTCCAAATTTCCCCTTTTTACAAGAACACTGGTTTTATTGGGTTAGACCTATCCTAATGACTTCATTTTGACTTGGTTCCTTCTGTAAAAATCCTGTATTTAAATCAGATCAAATTTTGAGCTACTAGGGATAGGACTCCCAATATATCATTTTTATGGGACCATAATTCATCCCATGGTAGTGGTGACAAAACAGATAATTTAAGATTCCTACTGCCGAAAAAGAAAAAAAAAACTGCCTGGAATTTTCTTTCCAGGTGACTGACCCATATTCTTATTTCTTCATGTCCCTGATCAAATTCCTCCTGAAACCAGGCGTGGTGGTACACCCCTGTAGTCCCAGCACTCGGGAGGCAGAGGCAGGAGGATCGTTGTGAGTTTGAGGCCTGCCTGGGCTATAAAGTGAGTTTGAGGCCAGCCTGAACTACATAGTAAAGCCCTGTCTCAAAAAGACAACAAATAAACAGAAAAGCAAAAATCCAAATTCCTCCTGAGTGAGGTCTTCACTGTCCCACCCAAATAGCGTTACCCCTTAACTTAACTTTTCTCCTTAGGCCTTACCTCCATTCCATGTTGCACAGCAATTTGACTGTCTCACTATCTTCCCTCCTGGGCTAGCAACTCCAAGAGAGCAGAGGCTCAGCCTGTTTGTTCAGTCAGTGTCGGAAACAGGTTCTGGCATGCAGTAGACGTTCACCATGAGTGAGTGAATGAATGAAATGTAACTTAGGAACGAGAGGAATGAGAAATGAAGGGTTGGGAAGTTCCTAAAGGTTATTCTGAAGGTTAAGAAAATCCAGTGGAAAGGAAGAACCACTACTCACCAATATCTACGTGGTGGACTGTTATTCACTTGGGCAAACTGTTACCCAAAATGGTTCACCCAGGGATCAACAGGGGCGGAAGCTCCCTTCTGGTGTGAGCTTTTGACTGAAATAGAGCTTTTAGAGATGAGTTTCCAGCTTTAGCTATAATGTGAGTTGAGAAAAAGCTGACTAAATGACCCAGCTTCAAAAGATGTTTAGACTATAATGTTAGGAGAAATAGATCAGGCATGCAAGCTTAAATATTGCATGATTTCTATGTGAGAAACCCAAATTATAAATAAAGAGCAAAATAAGAAATAGATAATAGCAAGTAGGGGGATAGAGCTTTCTCAGATGGAAAAGGATCAAGAGAGGGAGAGGAGAAGGGAAGGGAAGGAAGACATGAAAATAGGAATTAAGATGCATTATATATATACTACACAGTATATTATGTACTGCAAATATGTTCTAATAAAAAATAAAATTCATTCACCTTTAAAAAATATTTTACAAGAGTTGGTACTTGTGTGATGGGAGTGGGGTGGATGTAGGGGGCGATCCATCAGTGTGTTTTGTATTATACCTCAATCATCTCAGTGAATCCTTAAGGAGTAGGGAGTACTTTCATTGCTTTAGTGAGAGAGACTTTGAATTTAGGAGTTTTTTAAAGGTGAGAAAAGAAAGAAAGAGAAATGATCTCTGATCCTTCTCAGTTTAGATACTTGTATTAGTTTTATGGGACTCACCAGAATATCATGTATAACCAACAAAAATTTGTTATCTGTAGTTCTTGTTATAGCTGCTCATCAGAGAGAGAGGAATGGGGTAGGGAAGAGAAAGAGATAGACATCTGAACACATGGTTACTAGAAGCAGAATTCCTATAAGTAACCTGGCACTATGCAAATATGTTTTACAATTTATATAAATGTCAAAATAGTATGTGCATGTATTTTTTTTACACTTGTGCATTTGGTTCTAATTAAAATATAAACACACTTGAAATCATTACTAAACTCATAGATTCTCTTCTGTGCCTTTTCTCATTCAGTAGAAATTAAGTCATCATCATATCAGGATGAGGTCTCCAAACTCATGAAGTTAATTGTGTTTCACTTAAGAAACTGGTTAAAGACTCTGCAATAGATTTTTGGTGCTCCTAATTTGGCAGGCTAGGGATGGAGCCTGGGGATCTGTATATTTTTTAAAAGGTTCTCAATTGGTTTAGATTGATAAATCACCAAATTTAACAACAAGTAGATAAAGACTGGAGTTGCTGTCATAGGGATTATGAATGTAGCATAGACCTCAATCATGCTCAAAATGTCCTGGTGCCCCAGATTGTGACCTGTCCCCCACCTTTCTGTTCCATTTTGCTCATCCTTTAAGATTCAACTAACATGGCTTCTCATCTTTCAAGTCTTCTCTGATCCCCT